AAGAATACACGGCGTCGTTTCTGGCAATCTGCGACCAAATAAGAGGGATCAGCGAGGACGAGAAAATTGATCGCTACGTGGGTGGACTCAAGCCGGAGATTCAGCAAGAAATTGTCCTGCGAGCCCCGATGACCTTCAATGAAATTGTTCGCATGGCAGATGCGCTAGACACGCGACGTGGACTCGCGAGAGCGGGTTTCCGGGAGGGAAATTGTTTTCGAGGCCAGCCCCAACACACATCAATCAACGGCGTGGACGTGTTTGCAGCCCGAGTATTTTCGGGGAACTGCTTCCACTGCAACCAGCCTGGTCACATGGTGAGGGACTGCCCGCAGCTGAAGAAGAAATTACCTAACGACAAGAAGCAGTCGGGAAATGGAGATCGTCAGTAGCAGATGGGCCACCTACTGATTTGACTGCGTTGCCCAAACGCCACCACCCCCACCAGGTTATAGTGCCGATTTGGGCTATCGACCATTCCTGGCTAAATAAGGGGGGTGAACCAGTTGATCACCCTGTGCTGGTCGAAGGGAGAGTTGGAGACACCCGCATCAAAATATTCGTTGATGGCGGGGCGAGCCACAGTTTGATGGACGTGACGAAGGCGAAAAAATTGCGACTGCAGCTGGAGTGCTGCATGCCTGAAATCGACGCGCGATTGGTCGACGGCACACCCCTGGCAATTCGGGAACGAGTACCTCATGTGCGGGTCACCTGTGGCGAAAATTTCAGTTTCACGACGAAGATGTTGGCAACAACTTTGGACGGCTGCGACAGGCTGCTGGGACGCGATTGGCTGCACGAATACAACCTGAGCAACGATTGGCGGACGGGCGATTGTCGCATAAAATGGAGTGGCGAGTGGCGACGAGTACCCAAGTGGAGCTGTCAAGATTCGACCACATCAATGGTTAGCACGGTGACGATCAAACGAGCCATGATTCGAGGGGCCCAACTATACGCCGTCCGATGGCTCGCATCCACGGCTATCAACAGACATCGATAAACTCTGCGCAGCTGTTTCGGATGATTTGGCAATACTGATTCGCAAGCACGCCGACATTTTTCCAGGTGACATTTACTGATTCGGCGCCAGCTGGACTACCTACTCGAGAAAGGATTCGTTCGGCCAAGCACTTCACCTTTCGCAGCACCGATCCTATTCACCCCGAAGAAAGACGGCGGTTTACGAATGTGTATTGACTACCGCGCCTTGAACCGAGTTACCATCAAGTCTCGCTATCCTATCCCGCGTGCCGACGAACTCATCGACCAACTTCACGAAGCCAAGTTCTTTTCGAAAATTGACCTGCGAGACGGTTACCATCAGATCCGCATAAACGAAGCTGGCTGCTACAAAACGGCGTTCCGCACCTGGTACGGGAGCTACGAGTACACGGTTATGCCCTTTGGCTTAACAAATGTGCCTTCGACGTTCCAGTTAACCATGTACGAAGTTTTTCGGCCGATGTTGGATAAATGCGTCATCGTGTATCTTGACGACATCTTGATCTACAGCACTACCCGAGAGCAGCATTTAAAGGATTTGGCCGTAGTTTTCTCTCTCTTGCAGCAGAACCGACTCATCACCAAGGGCTCTTAGTACGAGTTTCTCAAGCAGGAACTGGAGTTCCTAGGACACGTCATTTCCATAAACGGTGTTAAAATCGACCCAAAGAAAATTGTGACCATCAAAGACTGGAAGCCGCCGGCTCATCTCCGCGAACTTCAAAGTTTTCTGAGGTTTGTGAATTACGTCTGTCGGTTCATTCCCAACATGGCGAGGGTAATTTCCCCTCTTACAGATCTTCTGCAGAAAGGCAAGTTTTATGAGTGGGGGGGAGAGCAGCAAGTTGCGTTTGAACAGCTAAAACTTTTCCTGACTACACCTCCAATTCTTCGGATTGCAGACCCTCACCATCCGTTCAAGCTCATCACCGATGCTAGCAATCTGGCCGTTGGCGCAGTACTGTTACAAGACTTTGGCGAAGGCCTTCAACCCATCGCCTACGAGTCACGAAAGCTGAACCCGGCCGCGCGAAATTATCCTGTCCACGACAAGGAGTTACTCGCCATCGTTCACGCTTTCAAAGTCTGGCGCTGCTACCTGACGGGCGCTGACGTGACAGTCCGAACAGACCACAAATCCCTACAGTTCATCCGCGCCCAACTGACACTGAATCCCCGACAGATTCGCTGGCTCAATGACCTCGAGTCAAATTTCCACTACAGGGTCACCTACAAACAGGGGGTTAGCAACATCGCCGACGCACTGACCCGCCCTTCAGTCCATACCGCCGCAGTCCTAATTACCCAAGCTAATTTGCTGCTAACTGGTCTATTCACCCACGGATACAGTACCGATCTATTCTTCACCACTAACAGTCATCCCCAACTGACGATCAAGCAAAATCCGGTACCAATCGGATTTGGGTTCCCGCCTACCGTACTCTACGCGAGCTACTGATACAGGAGGCACACGACTCGAATTTCTCGGGTCACTACGGCATCGACAAAACTGCCAAATTACTGAGTCGTAATTATTACTGGCCTGACTTGCCGACAGACGTACAGCATTACGTCACCTCCTGTGCCACGTGTCAACGCATGAAGACGTCACGACTCCGACCTGCGGGATTGCTGCAGCCGCTCGAGCCACCCAGCCGACCCTGGCAACAAGTGACGATGTATTTCGTCACTGGCTTGCCAGCTGGTCCAAGCGGTAACGACGCGATTTTAGTCGTCGTTGACCGGTTGACCAAGATGGCCCACTTCGCCGCCTGCAAGACGGCAATTACTGCCGAGCAGATAGCGAAGCTGTTCCTCATGAACATCGAGCGACTACATGGCATTCCTTCGGCAATCATCTGCGATCTCGACCCTCGGTTCACGTCCAACTTCTGGACAAAAACCTGGCAGCGGTACAGCACACGTCTGCATCTGTCCACGGCATACCACCCACAATCAGACAGTCAGACTGAGCGCACCAATCAGACGATGGAGCAGTTGATTCGCACAACGTGCACAGACCCGGCCCAATAGGAAGACTCCCTTCCCCTGATCGAGTTTGCGTACAACAACACCCCTCAGCCACGACTACTGAGTCCCCGTTCTTCCTCAATTATGGGATAGACCCAACAACTCCTCTATTGCCATCAATAGAAAATCTGGCACCAAGATCTCAGCAGTTCGTCGAAAATCTCCGACAGTCTCAGCAAAAAGCCGTCGATGCTATCCTAAAAGCCAACCAGAGGGCTAAGCAGCAAGCGGACCGACGACGCCGTGACTTAACATTTGCCCCTGGGCAATTGGTCCTGCTCGACACCAGAAATTTGGGAATACCCCTCCGAAATAAACTACGACCAATATTTTGTGGCCCATTCTACATCATCCGCATGGTGACACCAGTCACCGCCCAGCCGCAACTGCCGGTCGACTGGCGAATTCATGATTCCTCTCACGCCAGTCTCCTGCGACCGTTCGTCCCGAGTACGACTAATCTCGACCGTCAACACATCAATCCTGCGGTCAACCCAGTACCCGAGCCAACAATCGAACCGTCCAAGATTCTTGCTCATCGCATACGAGGTTATCGCGACACAGCAATCGTTGATTTCCTTGTAAGATGGGTCGATCGTACGACTGACGACGACCTTTGGGTTCCCGCAGTTATGCTCGGCGAACACAAAGTCGTCCGGGACTATTTACAACCGACGACGTGTCCCCGATGTGGGTAGTCTCATCCCAGAAGGGGGGGTGGTGTAAGGAAATTCCCTTTTCCTTACAGGACCCAGCTACAACGCGTACGCCCTCGACTATCGGAAGTCCATTTCTCGGCCAACTTCTTCGGTCCCGAACCAGTTCGCGAACCCGTTCGTGAACCCAAACCTAGCCGCACAGCGCTTCCGTGGCTTTCGCCAACCGAATCGCCCCAACCTATTCGCGTGGTTCTCGGCTAGCTTTGTTCGTGCCTATAAAAGCCTTGACATTCATTTGTATTGAGACTCTTGAATCACGACTCCTTTATTACACTACCTGTTATTACTCTGATTAATTTATAACATTCACACAATCTTGTAACACATTCCTGCAGATTTACAAGCTTGTCAGAACCATGTGCTGTGGTGCCATACTTTCCAGGTTTGGTGTCCCGTCGGCGGTTCGGGTTCGGACAACAGAGTGGTCAGGAAAATGTCGGCGCATTGAGGGCGCGGCGATAAAGCGAAAATCATGATTCTCTTTTTGAAACTCGAACGCTGCGAGGCATCACACGACCATCGCTTCTAGAAGTATTATTGTTTTCGCTATGGTTTGACGAGCAGACGAACATAGCACCTTGTGAAAAAATCGAAGTGGCCTTACGAACCAAGGGCAAAGCACCGCGCCCTGAGCCAGCTTTTGACCGTACGGCTGGGAACGACACCTCTCCCGGGGCGCCCCTACAAAAAACTCTGCGCCCTACACCAAGCCCCGAATTTATCGCGACGCCCCTGCCGCTCCCGCTGTCAAATCAGAGGGGCCCCCTCCCTGTTCAGTTCCCTTCCCACCCCCGATTTTCCCTAGGTCCCCCCGCTTCGCCTCACCACCACCCACCAACCCAGCCCAGACCCCGCTGACCCGCCGCCCCACCAGCCGAGGTTATTTCCGTTGCGACGCGACTTCAAAGTTACTGTTCCCCTGCCCGACACTTTTGAGCCTGGGTCTTCTTCCTCCACCTTCCTCCCTCCCTCGCTTCCACGATCCCGACAAATCCCCCTTCCCGCCTTCCTCCAAACCAATCGGGGCTTATTTTTGGCAGGTGTCATTGTGAAATAAAATGTCATCCAACAAAGTTGATAACTAATTGCATGCTTCAAAGTTAAAACAATAACGCACGTGATTGGTTTCCAGATTTATCGGATAACACTGACAGGAATGACACCATTTTGGGAATACACCTTTAGCCCAGACCAATCAGCCCAAGCCTGCCTAACTTGCCTCCTTTCGCAAGAAAGCCCACCTCGGCCTCTGTAGAGCAGACATGTCAGAGCCGATGGGAGGTGTCAGAGGGAGAAAAGTATGGCCACCCTTGGAAGCTGATTGGACGGATGGGGGGAAACAGATGATTGCGGCTGGTGAAGTGCGTCGAAATTCCGCCGACATCTAGTGTAGGCTATATCTGTGCAGAGAAAAGGTCTAGGTGAATAACAGCGTGGAAGGCGGTCCAGCAGCGGAAGGGACGAAATTTACGCCTCGGAGGTCTTCGGTTATGGCCACTGCCTGCTCAGAATCCAGTTAGGGCTGTAGTTAACCGCATTTAGGCCCTTCGCTCCCCGTCGTCTCGCGGTTGCGATTACCGAATTTCACCAGCTCGCTGGCTGACGTCTCTCCGTCGTCTCGCCGTGTTGAACGGGACTCGCCTGCGGACTGGACTCGACTGGCGGTGGCTAGCGCAGACTATCGAGGTAGTACGGTACTACTACGAGTAGCAGGAGCCTAAGCTGGTAGTAGTTAATCGCCGTCCATTGTAGCAAGCGCCGTCGATGGCCACCTATTAGAACACACGTTCGCATCGCCGGCTGACCGCAGTAGTAGGCACATCAGCTTCCGTCTACCGCCGCGGCCAGGATCAACTTCTACCTACGCCGCCGCTGCCGTCGTCTACGCAAGTTCCGCAGTATGACCGCATCCGATGCGTGGCATACACGCGATGTCACGCACCCGACCATGTCGTTCACACACGCTGCCACGCCCCTACTAGGCAAGCGGAAGCCTCAGAGCAGTCATCCCGAGCGGCACCGCCTGCTGCTGTGGCTGCTGGCACCGCTGCTCGTCGTCGCAGCGACGGTCGCCGGGCTGTCGCACTGGAGCTGCTCGTGCGACAGGAGCGACCTCACGGTGCTCAACGGCCGCGCGCTGCTCAAAGCGTCGCAGAAGATCGCAGAGCTCTGGAAGGCGAGCGGCGAGAAGGGCGACCTGAGCGGGTATCTGGCAGTGGGTAGTAGCGAGGACGCGTATGTCGGGGACGGAGTTGGGTCGGGCGAGGTGGATCCGTGGCGGTGCGAGGACGGCGGGGGGGGGTGGGGCGATTGCGGTGGCGCGGCTGCTGTGATGCTCGCTGAGGTACGCCGCGTGATGCAGGCGCCGTGCCATGGCATGGCATGGCATGGCATGGCATGGCATGGCATGGCATGGCATGGCCTTGCATGGCATGGCATGTGGCGCGCAGGTGCTGTTTTCCGTGGATGCCGTGTTGAATGGCTCACACGAGTGCCGTGCTGACGTGGTCTCACGCCGCTCCGCATGCCAGGGGGAGCCCAGGCATGGTTAGGTGCCCGCGTGCTGGCTGCCAGGGTTTGTGCCGTGGTGTGCGTGCATGCTAACATCGGTTTGTGCCGTGGTGTGCGTGCATACTTACAAGGGCTTGTGCCGTGAAGCGCGCATACTTACAAGGGCTTATGCCATGCCCTTATCCCTCATACTTCTCAATCTCCCCTACCTTCCTTCCCTCCCTCCCCCTCCCCCCCCGCCCCCCTCCCTCCCTCCCTCTCCCCCCACCACCCCCCCCCCCAGGGCTCCCTGTCCGCGCGCGTGCGCGCGGTGTGTGCGGCGTACGCAGTGACGGCTCTCACCAGCATGCCCATCCTCTCCCTCTGGCCCTCCGACCGCCACATGCCCTCCACGCGCTTCTCGCACCTCTTCTCCGCGTCGTCCCCTCCCATCAACGCTAGCAGCAGCAGGGGGGACGCGGACGGGTGGGGAGTAAGCGGGGGGAAGGGCGGGGTGTGGGTGAGGGATCTACCGGTGGCCAGTGAGAGGGTGCGGCGGCAGCTCGCCTCGGGGCTATCTCGGAAGGTGAGGACTTGGGGTCCCGGGATAGCTTCCGCTCCTCTAAACACGGGATAGCTTCCACTTGTTTAGAGGAGCGGCATGCGGCATGCCAGTGGGCAGTGAGAGGGTGCGGCGGCAGCTCGCCTCGGGGTTGTCTGGGAAGGTGAGGGGCGCGCATGGTGTTGTGTGACATTGTAACGAGGTGACTTTTGAGTCGGCTCAAGAGTCACATTGTTACCAGCGGCCAGTGCGAGGGTGCGGCGGCCTCACGGCTGTCTCGGAAGGTGAGTGAGCGGTGGAGGGCTGCCTCAGGGCGCACATGACTTGGGTCTCGTGTTTAGAGGAGAGGCGCGCCAGTAGTCGCTGGTCGAAACGGTGGCACAGGAATGCCAAGCCAAGGTGGGCACAAGCGAGCCATGTGTGAGGGCACGCAACCAGCGTGAGATGTCACTCTGGTTCCCCATGCCCCCTCTCCCCGATTCCATGTCCCCATGGCCCAGTCCCCATGGCCCAGTCCCCATGTCCCCATGCGCCCATGCACCCATGTGCCCATGCACCCATGCACCCATGCACCCATGCACCCATGCACCCATGCACCCATGCACCCATGCACCCATGCACCCATGCGCCCATGTCCCCATGTCCCCATGTCCCCAAGTCCCCAAGCGCCCGTGTCCCCATGCCCCCATGTCCCCGTGTCCCCAAGTCCCCATGCCCCCATGCGCCCATGCACCCATGCACCCATGCGCCCATGTCCCCATGTCCCCATGTCCCCAAGTCCCCATGCGCCCGTGTCCCCATGCCCCATGTCCCCGTGTCCCCAAGTCCCCATGCCCCCATGCGCCCATGCACCCATGCACCCATGCGCCCATGTCCCCATGTCCCCATGTCCCCATGCACCCGTCCGCCCATGTCCCCACGTCCCCATGCCCCCGTGCCCCCATGCCCCCATGCGCCCATGCGCTCATCCCTAGACCGCAGCTCCGCTTCTCGTCTTCCTGCCACGGCCATATCATCTCTGCATCTCCCTCTGCGACTCTGGCCGCGTCCCTCGCCTCCCTCCACCGCCTAGTTTTGAGGCACCTCAAAACTAGTCCCTCGCTTCCCTCCACCGCCTCTCTCTCCGTCCACCCGTCCCCAGCTGCTGCTTCAGGAGTCTATTCTTGAGGCGCCTCAAATATACGCTCCCTCCACCGCCTCACTCTATCCATCTCTGCACCTCGAGGTGACTTTTGAGTCGACTCAAAAGTCTTATCTCTGCATCTCCCTCTGCGACTCTGACCGCGTCTCTCTCCTCCCTCCACCGCCCCTCTCTCCATCCACGTGCTGCTGAAGCGTGCACGGCGTCCAAGGCAACCACGCTGGAGCTTCTCCCCTACGACCTCTTTCTCGCTCCCTACCCTGCTGCTGCCGCTGCTGCTGAAGCCGTGCACGGCGTCTAGTTTTGAGGCGCCTCAATACTGAATCGCCTCTCTCTCGATCCACCCGTCCGTCCCCAGGTGCTGCTGAACCGTGCACGGCGTCCAAGGCAACCACGCTGGAGCTTCTCCCCTACGACCTCTTTCTCGCTCCCTACCCTGCTGCTGCCGCTGCTGCTGAAGCCGTGCACGGCGTCTAGTTTTGAGGCGCCTCAAAACTGAATCGCCTCTCTCTCGATCCACCCACGCGTCCCCAGGTGCTGCTGAAGCCGTGCGCGGCGTCCAAGGCAACCACGCAGGAGCTCCTCCCCTACGACCTCTTCCTCGCGCCCCACCCTGCTGCTGCCGCCGCTGCTGCTGAAGCAGCAGCAGCAGCGGGGGAGGGCGCGAGCGCGTTGCTACGGGGGCCTTCAGGGGCGGGGTCGGTGGCGGCAGTGGTGGTGGATGCGTGTGCGTTTGAGCGCAGGGTGGACGAGTGCCTTGGGCTGCTGGAGCCCTCCCCGTATGTAGCATCGCTCGTTCTCAAAGAGGATGTGCACAGCATCGCCAACTCTACCGCCTTCTATGTTGACGTGAGCGCACGTGTGTACAAGTACA